TCGATAGCCTGTCCTAATCGGATTTCAGAAAGACGGAAGAAATTCCCGGTGTAACGAAACTGAGGGTCCGTGTAACAGAAAGTCCGCCCTCCATATAGTTATAATGGTTAGGGTTAGCCTGACCTAAGTGGGTCAAAATCTAGAGCGAGGCTTACCTGTACAAGTCAATGAATGGAAAGCGGACTCCCGGTTATGGGGGACTCTCTTTCAAGTGACACCGGCTTAATTTTCTCGGTATGTCGGGATACCAGGACCCCATCATAATTAAGGTACCATGTCGAATGGCGCAGGCGATTTTAATCTTTCGCTTTCCACAGTTAATTTAGTTCTTTTTTCTATAATGAAGCTAATTAGGAACAGTTGGAAGTCCACATTTAGTTCAAACATAGTTCGACCATTTCAGGCGTGCAATGCCTATAATTAAAATACGATTATATTCCAAATGCGACTCTCTTTCAATGGATATTAAAACGAAGAGAGATAAAAGCGCCTGTCTCGGTCACTGTCCAGTTTTGGGGTAGAAAACCGAGACCTGACGGGGGCACCATGTTTCCCCTGCCAAAGCCATAGATGGATTTATCATTAGACATTCACACATATGTCTCTGGTATATTCGTGGTGATTTTAATTTACTGTACTGTAATGTACTGTACTGTGCTGTACTGCGAGATTTTTTTTTTATTTTGCAAGGGATTCATGTCTTCCCTCAGCCGACCTCAAGTAGGCCTACAAAATAGGTATTTGAATCATGTGTTAAGGCACTGTCACTGTCACACCTAGCGTAGAGCATCAGCGTTTAAGGAAAATCGTGGGAGCCTAAAGGAGCTCTGGAAACGCCGGTGTGACAGGAATCGTGGTCCTCTAGGAACCTAGTCCGGTCCCCATTACTTTGTACCGGTGACACTGGTCCCATACACTAACTCCGACTTACCCTAACCTGTACTGTGAGTATGGGAGCCAGGTGTCATGTACCAGAAAGTCCCCCATAACAGAGAGTCCGCCTTCCATTCATTTGTACAGGTGAGCCTCGCCCTTGATTTTGACCCACTTAGGTCAAACTAACCCCAACCATTATAACTATATGGATCGGATCGAGGGTAGACTTTCTGTCACACGGACCCTCAGTTTCGTGACACCGGACTTCCATTCCTAGGACTACCAAACGGTCACACCGGCTACACGTAGGCTTATTAGGCGTCCTCACAAATGGCCCGAGTTTTTAATCGAATAAGCCTTTATCGTCTGCCCATCTGGTGTTAATTTTGGGACAGTATGGCACCTGTAATAACCTGGACGACGTGTAATTATAAGGACAGCTATGTTGAGGGACGAGGCTCAGATTTGTTTCATCCTCTGGTTTACATGTGACAAATGCAATTACTGTACTAACTGGCGTTTTTTTTTTTCTTTCTTTTCTTTTTCTTTTTACAAAAAGATAAAGATAACAATGAATATGGAAATCAGTAAATGGTGGAGATATAGTAAAAAATTGCCTTTTTTAAAATTGATAATGATAACAATGAAGATGTAATTCAGTAAATAGAGATATAGTGAAGTTCGTTTAAAGGTGTATTAATTCTTACTGAAAGTGTCAAGTTTTGGCTTACTTCGCTTCCGTCTCTCTTTCTGTACAGCTCATGCTTACACCAACAGTCTCAGACCCATTATGAAATAAACAACATCACACTATCGAAAAACCATGTTAATGTCAGGAGCAGGCCTACCTGTCGATCGGGCGAATTTTTTCAAATAAAACACGCTCGTCTCTCACCTGATGTTTCTTCTAGACTATCTCTACTGTAAACTCTGTCCGCAACTGGACGCAGCTGTCCTCTTCGTAGTTTCAGGATGCTAATGAAGGAGAGGAACTTATGGGACTTAAATGAATGGTAATGAAGGAGATAAACTAAGTGTCTCAGGCGCCTGTTCATAAAGATAAATACAGTTATCCATGTGTGCAGGTATAATTAATGTAGTGCAAGAGCTACTAATTAGTTACAGTGCTGCTTTGCCTCTGTAAGACCAGCCAATCAGAGGCATATGAGTTCAGTTACCCAGGAGAAAGTTAATGCTCCCCCTCACTTGTCTAGTTAAATTCACATCATTCAGTAGTGCATAAGTTATAGGACTTAGGTTACCTAGATCATATTATTAATTTTCAAACCAGTATGATATCGCACTTCGACTTCTTAATGGTGCCAGTGCCGATTTCAACAGACGATTGTTTTGCTAATCTACCAGTCATAACTTAAATTTTTGTAAATAGCTCTTTTTAATCTTAATGTTTCTTTATTCGATAGTCCAGAATGTGTAGAATTAATTACGTTATTTATTATAGTTTTGTTAAAATTGAAGATAACAGCTAGTAAGATTAAAACAACGATGTGGAAATTAGAAATTGAGACGTCGCAGAGTAGTTTAGATGACGAAGATTTCTGAGTTCATTTTTTTACTGATGACACAACTTATTGAAATTGGAACGTGATAAAGATAGGGATGACGAAGATTTCTCACTGAATTTTTACTAATGACATTGTGAAATTGGAACGGTACACTGAAGATTGTGATGACGCAGATTTCTGCGTTCACTTTTTTTTTCTGATGACACAGCTTACTGAAACTGAGACGCCACAGAGTAGATTTGTATGACGAAGAGTTTTAGGTTCATTTTTACTGATCATGATGAAACTGCTTAGTGAAATTGGAACGTCATAGAGATCATAGGAATGACACAGAATTCTCAGCTCACTTTAACTAATGAACTCAGAAATCTGCGTCAGCTCCATCTTCTCTTTGACGAAGATTTCTGATTCATTTTACTAATGACATAGCTTATTGACATTGAAACGTCACAAAAAAAAAAAAAAAAAAAAAAAAATTGGGATGATCCAGATTTCTGAGTTTATGTTTTCACGATGGCGCAACTTACTAAAATTTAGACGTCACAGAGAAGATAAGAATAGCGCAAATTTCTGAGGTCAATTTTACTAATGAACTCAGAAATCTGCGTCACCTAATCATCTCTGTGACGCAGATTTCTGAGTTCATTTTGACTTATGACATAGCTAAGTGAAATTGGAACGTCACAGAGAAGATAAGGATTTCTAGCGTCACCCTAATCTTTTCTGTGACGCAGAATTCTGAGTTCATTTTTACAATGGCATACTTAATTGAAATTGGAGTGTCACAGAGGACATTGGTATGACGAGGAACTCTGGGCTCACTTTTAATGTTGATGCAGCTCTTAAAAATTGTAACGCCACAGATTAGTTTTAAGTTAGATCATTTTTATTAATGACGCAATTTATTGAAATTGGAACGTCACAGTGAAGATTGGGACGACAAAGATTTTTGAGTTCATTTTTACTGATGACACAGCCCATTGAAATTGAAAAGTCAAAGAGAAGATAGGGATGACGCAGATCTCTGAGTTCATATTGACTTATGACATAGCAAAGTGAAATTGGAACGTCACAGAGAAGATTGTGATGACGCATATTTCTGCGGTCACTTTAAAGTTTTACTAATGAACTCACCCTAATCATCTCTGTGACGCAGGTTTCCGAGTTCATTTTGACCTATGACACAGCTAAGTGAAATTGGAACGTCACAGAGAAGATCGGGATGACGCAAATTTCTTAGTTGTTTTAAACTCATGAACTCAAATCTGCGTCATTCCCATCTTCTCTGAACTTACTTTCACTAATTAACTCAGAAATCTGCGTCATTCTAAACTTTTTTACGCAGATTTCTGAGTTCATTTTAACTTGTGAAATTGAGACGTCGCAGAGTAGAGTTGGATGACGAAGATTTCTGGGTTTAGTTTTACTGAGGACACAGCTTACTGAAATTGAAACGTCACAGAGAAGATTCGGATGATGCAGATTTTTCATTTAATATTTTCACGATGACGAACTTAACTGACATTTAACCGCCACAGAGAAGATAGGGATGACGCAGATTTCTGAGATCACGTTTACTAATGAACTAAAAAATCTTACATTATCTTCTCTGTGACGTAGATCTGAGCTCATTCTTTTCTGATGACACAGCTTACTGAAATTGAGACGTCACACAGTACATTTGTATGACGAAGAGTTCTAGGTTCATTTTTGATGATGAATCAGTTAGTGAAATTGGAACGTCATAGAGAACATAGAAATGACACAGAATTCTCAGCTACGAACGAAGCATTCCGGCTCGAAGTGGTCGCTACAGATCCTCGCGTGTTTTGACACTGTGACAGTGTTGGGATTTTTTAACTTCAGAGAATTGAGCCAAATTTTACGTTTTGCGGCATCCGCAGGCAGGATATAATAGCAGATGTCTTTCTTATCGTAACCTACATTACGGCACCCGGGAACAACACAACTTTGCGGCATTTTGTTTTTCTGACACCTGGATGTTTAGTCACCTACTGCATAGTATATACTATTACTAGTACAGCTGTGGGAAGCTACTACCCAGGTTACGTCACTAGAAACTGACCAATCAGAATTTTCTCATCTAAATCTCATCTTTTCTCTCTAAAACTTAAAAAGAACAATTTTTTGACGTCGATTTATAGTTTTTATACTGTAAAAAAAGCAGTGAACGCTATGTGTTCCTAGAGCACAGTAGGCCTTTAACTAATGAATTCAGTAATCTGAGTTCATTTTGACTTATGACACAGGAAAGTGAAATTGGAACGTCACAGACAAGATAGGGATGACGCAGATTTCTGCGGTTACTTTTACTAATAAACTCACCCTAAACATCTCTGTGACGCAGATTTCCGAGTTTATATTGACTTATGACATAGGAAACTGAAATTGGAACGTCACAGATAAAATAGGGATGGTGCAGATTTCTGAACTTACTTTTACTAATTAACTCAGAAATGTGCGTCATTCTTAACTTAAAATTAAGACGTCACAGAGAAGATAAGGATGACGCAGATTTCTAAGGTCACTTTCACTAAGAAATCTGCGTCACCCAGTCCCTAATCATCTCTGTGACGCAGGTCTCTGAACTCATTTTGACTTATGACAAAGGAAAGTGAAATTGGAACGTCACAGAGAAGTTAGGGATGACGTAGATTTCTAAGGTCACTTTTACTGTTGACGCAGCTCATTGAAACGCAGGAGAGAAGATTGGGATGGTGCAGACATCTGCGTTCATTATACTCATGATGCAGTTATTTGAAATTGGAATTTCACAGAGAAGATGGGTATGACGCAGATATCTGAGCGCTTTTTCAACTCATGAACTTAGAAATCTGTGTCATCCCCATCTCTGTGACGCAGATTTCTGATTCATTTTTACTGATGACACCGCTTACTGAAATTGGAACGTCACAGAGAAGATTGGGATGACGCAGATTTGTCAATCTTCTCTTCTCTGTGACGCAGATTTCCGAGTTCATATCGACTTATGACATAGCAAAGTGAAATTGGAACGTCACAGAGAAGATGGTGATGACGCAGATTTCTGAGTTCATTTTTTACTAATCAACACAGAAATATGCGACACCCTAATCTTCTCTGTGACGAATGACATACTTTATTGAAATTGGAGTGTCACAGAGAACATTGGTATGTCGAGGATCTCTGAGCTCACTTTTAATGTTGACGCAGCTCTTAAAAATTGGAACGCCACAGAGAAGATTACTTTGAAGTTAGATCAAATTTTATCAATAGCGCAGTTTATTGAAATTGGAACCTCACAGAGAATAATGGAATGACGAAGATTTCGGAGTTCATTTTTGCTGATGACACAGCTGAAATTTGGACGTCACAGAGAAGGTAGGGATGACGCAAATTTTTAGTTCTTTTTTTACTGATGATGCCGCTTATTGACTTTGGAACGTCACAGAGTAGATTGGAAAGAGGCATATTTCGGTGGTCACTTTTACTAATAAACTCACCCTTACCATCTCTGTGACGCAGATTTCCGTGTTCATTTTTACTTATGACATTGCAAAGTGAAATTGGAACGTCACAGAGACGATAGGGATGGCGCAAATTTCTTAACTTACTTTTATTAATTTACTCAGAAATGTGCGTAATTCCTAACCTTTTTTACTTATTTACGCAGATTTCTGAGTTCATTTTGACTTATGACATATCTAAGTGAAATTGAGACGTCGCAGAGTACATTTGGATGATGAAGATTTCTGAGTTTATTTTTACTGATGACACAGCTTATTAAAATTGGAACGTCACAGAGAAGATTGTGATGACGAAAATTTCTCAGTGAATTTTTACTAATGACATTGTTTTGTGAAATTGGTACGGCACAGAGAAGATTGTGATGACGCTGATTTCTGCGGTCACTTTTACTAATAAACGAAGAAATCTGCGTCACCCTAATCATCTCTGTGAGGCAGGTTTCTGAGTTCATTTTGACTTATGGCATAGCTTCTTAGAAATGGAACGTCAAAAGGAAGATTGGGATAACAAAGATTTCCGGGTTCATTTTTACTGATGACACAGCTTACTGAAATTGGAACGTTATAGATAGGGATGACGCAGATTTCTACGGTCACTTCTACCGATTAACTCAGATATCTGCACCACTCTTATAATTTCTGTGACGCAGATTTCTAAGTTCATTTTGACTTATGACATAGCTTATTGAAATTGGAACGTTACAGAGAAGATTGGGATGATACAGATTTGTGAGTTTATTTTTTCACGATGGTGCAACTCAGTGAAAACGTCAAAAAGGTAGATGGGGATGGAGAAGATTTCTGAATTCACATTTACTACTGACATACTTTATTGAAATTGGAACGTCACAGAGAAGATTGGTTTGAAGATTTCTGGGTTCATTTTTAATGAAGAGCTGCTTATTGAATTTGTAACGTCTCAGAGAAGATTGGGATGGTGCAGACATCTGCGTTCATTATACGGATGATGCGGCTTTTTGAAATTGGAACTTCACAGAGAAGATGGGTATGACGCAAATATCTGAGCTCTTTTTAACTCATGAACTCGGAAATCTGTGTCATCCCCATCTCTGTGACGCAGATTTCTGATTCATTTTTACTGATGACACAGCTTATTAAAATTGGAACCTCACAGAGAAGATGGGTATGACGCAGATATCTGAGCTCTTTTTAACTCATGAACTCAGAAATCTGTGTCATCCCCATCCCTCTGAGGCAGATTTCTGATTCATTTTTTCTGATGACACAGCTTATTGAAATTGGAACCTCACAGAGAAGATTGGGATGACGTAGATTTCTCAGTGAATTTTTACTAATGACGTACCTTTGTGAAATTGGAGAAGATAATGATGACGCAGATTTCTGAGGTCAATTTTACTGATGAACTCAGAAATCTGCGCTTTCCCCATCTTCTCTTTGACGCAGATTTCTGATTCATTTTTACTGATGACATAGCTTATTGAAATAAGAACAGGGGCGGATTTAGGCCGTCTTCTGGGTCTTCCGGAAGACGGTCAGATTTTCAAGTTTACATTGACGGTATCTATTTTTTTCTGTTGGAAGACGGTCAAAATTGGAGGATGGATCAACAAAGATAATTTGGAAGACTGTCAGAAAATATCTTTGGATCCGCCCCTGAAGAAGGCCACAGAGAAGATTGGGATGACGAAGGTTTCTGTGCTCACTTTTACTGTTGACGCAGCTCATTCAAATTAGAAGATGGGTTTGAAGATTTCTGGGTTCATTTTTGCTTTTTGAAATTGGAACTTCACAGAGAAGATGGGTATGACGCAGATATCTGAGCTCTACTTAACTAATGAACTCAGAAATCTGCATCATCCCCATCTCTGTGAGGCAGATTTCTGATTCATTTTTTCTGATGACACAGCTTATTGAAATTGGAACGTTACAGAGAAGATTGGAAACGTAGATTTCTCAGTGAATTTTTACTAATGGCATCGCTTTGTGAAATTGGAGAAGATTATGTAACGCAGATTTCTGAGGTCAATTTTACTAATTAACTAAGAAATCTGCGTCACCCTTATCTTCTTTGTGACGCAAATTTCTGAGTTCATTTTGACTTATGACATAGCTTACAGAAATTGAAACGTCACAGAGAAGATATGGATAACTCCGATGTCTGACTTCATTTTCACTGATAACACAGCTCGTCGAAAATGGAACGTCAAAAGGAGAAGATTGGGACGGCAAAGATTTCTGGGTTCGTTTTTTACTGATAGCACCGCTCACTGAAATTGGAACGTCACAGAGAAGGTAGGGAGGACGCAGATTTCCGAGCTCAATTAAACAAATGACCTCTGCGTCATCCCCATCTCTGTGACGAAGATTGGTATGACAAAGGTTTCTGTGCACACATTTACTGATGATGCAGCTTACTGAAATTGGAATGCCATAGAGAAGATTGGGATGACGCAGATACCTGAGCTCTTTTTAACTCAAGAACTCAAATCTGTGTCATCCCTATCTCTGTGACGCAGACTTCTGATTCAGTTTTACTAATAATATAGCTTATTGACATTGGAACATCACAGAAAAGATTGGGTTGATCCAGGTTTCTGAGTTTGTTTTCACGTTAGCGCAACTTACTGAAATTAAAACGTCAGAGAGTAGATGGGATGACGAAGATTTCTGAGTTTATTTTTACTAATGCCATACTTTTTTAATTGAAATATCACAGAGAAGATTGGTACACGTATGACGAAGATTTCTGAGCTCGCTTTTATTGTTGACGCAGCTTACTGAAATTGGAACGCCACAGAGAAGATTGGGATAATGCAGAGCTTACTGAATTTGGAACGCCAAAGAAAAGATTAGGATGACGCAGAGTGTCTTTAAAGAAAATTTGAATTGAAAAATGGACCGTCGCAGAGATCCATGCGGGGCATTGCTTAACTTTTCAAATGTTAAATTATAATTTATAACATTGCAAACAAGGGGAAAAAGACCGAGAAAGGGCATTAGGACGGGTTGAACGGTTTATGAAATCACACAAAGTAAATAATTTTCAGTAAGAAATAATAAATGAAAATTTTAATTTATATTTAATTATGTAATAAATTGACAAGTTTAACATACAGACGTTTTTGTGAAAAAGAAAATTTCTGGACATTTTAAAGGCATTTAGAGCTAATTTTCAGGGGTAAAAATTAGCTTTAGGGTACAAATATCAATTTCCAATTTCTCAAAAATAAAAAAATATGGAACGCTTCACGAATTTGCGTGTCATCCTTGCGCAGGGGCCATGCTAATCTTCTCTGTATCGTTCCAATTTTAGTATATGTCCCACCGAAGTGAGGACATACCGCTGGAGTCATTTCAGTCATTATATTGCAGGTAAATCCAATATGGCGGCTCAGGTAAGCAGTGCTTTCAAAAACATATTTTAGTCAATTCTTTCCCTAAAATATCTGGTAAAGCTTTAAAATAGCCCAAATTGTTCCTTAGCAGTGTTACATAACAATTTTAATTAATAATTTTACCTAATTTCTTGTAAAACAAAGTGTTCTATTTTACCTATTTTATCCTAGCAGTGCCTCTTAACTTACAGATTGTATTCAACTGCACACCTTTAATTGGCGCATGCGTGCTGCCATCTAGCGGTGATCACCTGACAATAACAAACCATGTTGGTAAGAAAGAACATCTAGATAAAGCCGTCCTAATAGATCAATTGACAAAAAGATGCACTGGCTCTTGACCAGGTAACTGGCAAAGACCATAACTAGGATTGCATGGACGTTACTCAGACATGTCCATATCGTAAGAAGGGAAGTATTTATTGATAAAAGATCTCCAAACCTTAAGTAAAAAAGTAGGTCAATCGGTTCACACCGCGTGACCCGGCAAACTGCTACATTTTATGTAACAAAGACAATGCCAAAAAGTTGCCACAGTTTTTTAGATTTTGGAAAAGCGTTCTACCACACCAAGTTAACCTTGTCCACTCTGTACATAAGACAACCACGGCGTTGATGAACCGACACCCACCCACCCACCCACACACATATATACATGTATACTGAGTATACATGTATATAAGATATAAGAAATAGCTAAACGATAGGCATATTGTACTGTACAGGTAGTGCGGGGTAGGCCAACCCCTAACATAGACTTAACGGGAATTCACCATTTCGCCTTGAGAGCTCAGGGCCAGAATTCGCATTAGGAAAAAGGTGGCAGTAACAGTACAAAGGCATCATCATAAGAAAGAAGAAATTGAACTACTGGTAGAAAGATGAAAAAATATGATGCAGGACGACAATCGAAATTAAGCTGAGACAAAGTGTAGGCCTATAAGACCCCAAACTCGAAACTGCTAGTCATTAGAAATCAACTTCAAAAGGTATACAAGAAACCTAGCTACGTTGCTTCAACATGAAGGTTTTGATTTTACAATTATCCTTAATCAAGGTTATTTGATAGATATGCCGATTGCTATTTCCAAAATTTCAGAAAAATTAAGTTTTTAACCTCTCCAAGCATTGATGATGGATGCACATGTAGGGCCTAGATAAATAAACTGGTCCAATCCCTTCTTATTACTTTGTCTGTAGGGCGAGTCAGTCTGTGAAATGATAAGGAAAATACAAAAGATACGAAAAGCTCCTCATTCCATAGAAAAATGCAAAAAATACGTAAAGCCCCTCATTCCATAAAGTCCCAAACAGACCATAGACCATGTAGGGCCTACGTCTCAGCTCGCCAACACATCTGACAACAAAAACCTCACAGAGTCCAGTCTTCAGCCAACTAACATAGAACGCAACTGAAAATGCTTGCACTCTCGCTAGAAAAAAATTATAAGAATGGTGCAAAGTGCAAGTACTAAATATCCGTAGTATGGAGGTCTTTTTCTAATTATACTCACCTCTGTCTGCTTATTTAAAAACGGTTAAATAACTTCAATGAATCTTCCAATACTGTTGGGAAAATAAAAATAAAAAAGATCAATGCCCATCTCATTAGACGTTGACAGTTTCAACCTCACTTTCTGCGGTCTTCGTCACGACTGGTGAGACTGATGGCACTGAACTTCCTGGCTGTGAGCACTTCTCACAATATGTCATGAGTAACAGCTAGGGCACTGTCCTCGTGGTTACTTCATCATAATCAGAAATGGGGAAAACTTTGGAGATACTGAAGGTCCTGAGGATCCGTACTGCATAAAAACAAGCAGGTCTTCCTAATCCTGTGCTGGTCCAACTAAATATTTAATTTTCGATAGTCTATACGTTTACATGAAATTTATTTTTATGGAATGTATTTTCACAAAAACCCTGCCAGTCCACAGGATCTTGCAGGCCATCTAGCAATTTTCTCTTGTTTGATATAATATATTAATGTGTCACTGTATAACTTGTGTGCGTGACAGTTCGTATCCACCTTTGCCTCCGTTCCCTCCAGACGTCATTAGAAAGTGAGGTTAAAACTGTCAACATCTAGTGAAAGAGGTGTAGGCTTAAATATTTCATATATTAGTATATATTCCCCTTCATGTCAAAATTCAACAAATAATATGAATTGACAAACAGCATTACACGCAAACATCCGAAAATTTTAACCACAGCAGATGACCTAAAGTTAATTTTCAGGGCCGTAGCCTCCGGGGGGGCGGGGGGGGGGGGGCAGCTCCCCC